TTTTTTTCTTTTTCTTATCCCAAGCTACGTCAGGAGAGCAGAGGCAGCGAGAATGGCTTGAAGCCCAGGAGGCAGAGGTTGCAGTCGAGCCAAGGTCCGCACCACTGCACTTTCCATCCTGGGTGACAGAGTGAGGACTCCGTTCATTTTTTTTTCTTTTTTTTTTTTTTTAGTAGAGATAGGGTTTCACTATGTTGGCCAGGCTGGTCTCACACTCCTAACCTCAAGTGATTCCCCTGCCTCGGCCTCCCAAAGTGCTGGAATTACATGTATGAGCCACCGAGCCTGGCCCTCATTTCTTAACACTGCGTTTGGTAGGGCAGCAACAGTCATTTATATGTGAATAAATGAAGCTGAAAGAGGAAGTCAGAAAGACCAAAGGAAGAAGCAGACAAGAAGGGAAGAAGGAACACCCCTCCCCCCTCCAAAGAGACAGCTCCAGGAATGCCAAGTCTGCTCGCCTAGGGATGCAGAGCCAGAAAGCCCAAGTCAGAGTGGGAGGAGGTAGGGAAGGAATTTCAAGCTAGAGTCCTATTCTCTCTCTCCACCCCCTCTCTCACCCCAAAAAGAGAGAAAATGACACGAGGCTTTCGAACCAAGAGCTGGAGGAACCTGGAGGCAAAAGCTGAGGCTGTCAGCTGCCCAGCAGTTAACACCCTGAGACCATCTTCCCACTTCCAACACCCACAGAAGCTGCCTCCCAAGGGCTCCGGTGTCCCCGCGTGGCCCACCTCAGCAGTATGATGCAGCACTGGGGAAGTGACAGAATGTGAAAAAAACTATTATAGCTGAGATATTTTAAAATTCCGCCCTCCAGGCAGCATCTGGTTGCTACAGCAACCCCAGCTCTGCAGGGTGTCCCGATTACCAGCAGGCTCCCTGCACCTGCCTCAGGCTGAGAGCAGGCGGCTGCCGCCAAGGGGAACACCAAGGAAATGCCCATGTTCTGATTCCAAGGTAATGGCTCAGACCCAAGGGGATTTTTATCTGTTCAACGTGAAACCTGATGAAGTTTTGTCCCATGTTAATAATTTCATTAAAAATATGGCCTTACCTCCTATTCGATGCACTCACAGTGTTTTTTATTCATTCATTTGGCTCCATCAGAACGCAAAAAAGATAACATTTTCATTCATTTGGGATCGAGAAATGAAGGCAGCTGGATGAGTTTTGGTTCCAGGGTTTAGACAAAGCCCCTAAGGGACAAAATTGGAATCAGAGCTGAGTAGCTGGTCCTGCTCTCTAGATTTGCATAAGTCATGTGGCAGGACACTTGCTCTTTTGCACCCGCCTGAAATAGCTTGATATCCTTAGGAAACCCAAACAAGTAATAAATAGGGGGCTGGGCACTGTGGCTCATGCCTGTTATCCCAACACTTTGGGAGGATGAGGCAGGGGCATCACTTGAGCCCAGGAGTTCCAGACCAGCCTGGCTAACATAGCAAGTTCCTGTCTCAATGAAAAAATTACAGGCTGGGCGCAGTGGCTCACGCCTGTAATCCCAACATTCTGGAGGCCAAGGTGAATGTTAGTAGGAATATATAGTAAGGCCATTCTTTTGTTTTGTTTTGTTTTGTTTTGTTTTGATTTGTTTGAGACAGAGTCTCACTCTGTCACCCAGGCTGAAGTGTAGTGGCATGATCTTGCTGCAACCTCCACTTCCTGGGTTCAAGTGATTCTCCTGCCTCAGCCTCCCAAGTAGTTGGGACTACAGGTGCATGCCACCACACCTGGCTAATTTTTGTATTTTAGTAAAGACGGGGTTTCACCATGTTGACCAGGCTGGTCTAGAACTCCTGACCTCAAGTGATCCACCCGCCTTGACCTCCCAAAGTGCTGGGATTACGGGCAGTAAGGCCATTCTGAGGGGGTCACATATGGAAATGAAGAACATTTACTGGAAGCTGGACAAAAGGCCATCCTTGTTAGGAAGAACTTGGCTAAATTGTGTTCATGTTCTATCATTTTGTGGAGGTAAAAATTGCAAGCAATGAAACCTGCAATTGGATGTTTGGCTCAGGAAATCTCTAAACAAAGTATTGAAGGAGTTACCTAGCTCCTTCTGACTGCTTCCAGTAAAATTCAAGAGAGACATAAATGACTTAAAGACAGAACTGTTAAGCAAAAAGTAATGAGAACTTGAAATTCTGAAAAATGATCGGCCCATCCATATAGAAAAGAACGAGAACCCGTTTGGAGAGAACACTAAGGGTGTTGCTGTGTTGCCAAGCTCCTTTAGTAAGATTAGTATGGATCAGCCATTGCAACAGAAGCTAGGAGCTATTCTCCAAGATAATGGAAGAAGGACCCTGAAGGCAGTTCAGAGATCATGAGAGCTGGCACTCCCATCACCGGCCCAGAGTGCAAGGACCAACAGTAAGAGCAGATTCAAAGGCTGGCCACCTCTCTGGTCCAGGCCAACCAAGAAGCAGGAATTAGGCCCTCACCAGAAACCGAATCTGCTGATGCCTTGATCTTGGACTGTCCAGTCTCTGAAAGTATGAGAAATGAATTTCTGTTGTCATAGGACACCCAGTCTATGGTCTTCTAACAGCCTGAATGGACTAAGACATAGACCAATTGCACTTATGAACATAGGCAAAGAACTCCTGAACAAATTACCAGCAGTAGTGGCCAGCAACATGTAACATAACCAATTTGGTTTTTTCCCAGGGATGAAAGAAAGAGTTAAAGATGAAAACAGGCTGGGCGTAGTGACTCACGCCTGTAATCCCAACATTCTGGAGGCCAAGGTGGGAGGAGCGCTTGAAGCCCAGGAGTTTGAGAGCCGCCTAGGCAACATGGCAAGACCTCACCTCTACAAAAAATAAAAAATTAGCTGGGGTGTGGCGGCACATACCTGTAGTCCCAGACGAACTATAAATAAACCATAGAAATAAAAAATAAATTAAAATATGGCCTTACCTCTATTACGAAAAATGACACCACGAGTTTTTATAATCATTCATAACAATAATGCAAAAACTACACATCAGAACAGCAACAAAAGATAACAAAAAATATTTCATTCATATTGAAATCGAGAAAATGAAGGCAGCTGATATGAGTATATATATAGATAATATAACACAGAGAAATAAACAAAACACACAAAAAAAACACATAAGAGACAAAATTGGAATCAAGACTGAATAGACAAACGAATCCTGCTCTCTAGATTTGCATTAAGTCAATTAGCTGGGATGGCAGATAAGCTGTTGCACTTTTGCACCCAAAAGCCTGAAATAGCTTGATAATAATCCTTAGGACCCCAAACAAGTACTAAATAGGCGGGCCTGGCCACTGTGGCTCATGCGTTCTGCTTATCCATACACTTTTGGGAGGAATAGGCAGGGGCTATCACTTGAGGCCGGAGTCCAGACAGCCTGGCTAACATAGCAAGTTCCTGTCTCTCAATGAAAAAATTACAGGCTGGGGCGCAGTGGCCACGCGCTTCTACTCCCAGCACTTGGGGAGGCCGAGGCAGGTTGGATCACCTGAGGTCAGCGGAGTTCAAGACCAGCCTGCCAACATTCGTAGAAACCCCATCTCTCTAAAAATCAAAAAATTAGGCTGGGCGTGGTGGCACATGTCTGTATCCCAGCTACTCGGGAGGCCCAAGGTATGGACAATCGCTTGAACTCGGGAGGCAAGGTGCAGTGAGCCTGAGATTGCGCCACTCGCACTCCAGCCCTGGGCGACAGAGTCAGAACCACGTCTCAAAAAAAAAAAATTACATTAAGATGGTGTGGTGGTGCACACCATATCCCCAGTTATTTGGGAGGATGAGGTGG